AGCAGGTGGTGCCCACGTTTCACTGCAACGTCACACCGGGGACGCAGAGGAAGGTGATTTATTGCAGCACGTAAGCTTGGCCAAAACAGGAAGTCAAGTATATCACTAAAGATAATTCCTACTTTCGCAACGGCAGAAGCTTGTCACAGAAACTGCAGTGTGTTTGTAGGTTGTGGGGTAAGCAGGAGAACAAATGGCAAATGGGAGCTCTTCAGGGCTGCAGCAGATCAAGCCCAGCAGAGCCTGTTTGGCATTTGCTGTCATTCCCCTCACCACATTCCCAGCTGGTGTCAGGACCTGGGATTTGACCCCATATCTATACTACCTTTACATTCACTCTCTCCCCACTGTCACACCTGTGCTGGGCCCAGTAGAAGACCAAGAGCCTTTTGCCCTCAGTCTTTTCGTGATCTGCGCTGCTAGAGGGAGGAATACTTTATTATTCTATTTTTCTCTCTGAAAAGCAATAATCTCTTTCTTTGCCAGAAGATTACAAAGTACTATCTGGATTAACCAGATCTATCCGTGCTTAAGAGCACTGCGTGCTTCTGTAGTTGAGATTGGTATTAAAAACGCAAATGCTAAAATGACGGATTGCTCTGAAGTATAAACTCGCTAAACTAAATTGTGAGTTGAAATATGAGCATCTGACTCTGGGACTGATGAATAGTCATTTTGAAAAGAAATATTACAGGAAGTGCTTTATATATATTATCATTTTGACAATAAGGGAAGGCTATTATGGTTTAGAGACAAAAAAAAAAAGTAGTCAGCCAATCAATCCTGGTAACAAAACAAAATATCTATTCTTCATTTCTGCACTCTCCTTTCTGCCAATGCCTTCGGTTCCCTAAACATTAGCATTCTTTCTTCACATGCCGTCTCATGTGGTATCTTATTTTTCAGGCTGAAATTTATTTGCTGTGTCTAGATTTATCATACAACACATCCATCCTATTCATGCTATATGAACATGCTTTGCTGTTGAACATGAGCTATTACTT